AATAAAGTTTACCATATCCAGTTACAGATGCACAGCTATTTATTTAAAAACACTTTCTGGAAGGAATTAGACTTGAATCACTGACAGGCTCACTCCAAGTAGATGTCATTCTGTTTATGTACATTTTCTCGCTCTCTATCGTTAGGATAGTTAATTCAGTGTTGACGTAGTTATACAAAGTATTTTTCTTTGAATTATCATAATCTTTCTTCACTACAGTCAACTCTATCGTAAGCGACCATCTCGGGATCAGGAAAAAGTGGTCGCTTACAAGAAATGGTCGCTTACGGGAGATTTTTTYTACAGGGTTTATATGGGAAACAATTGTAACGGGAAATTTAAAAGGTGATCGCATACGGGATATGGTCGAGAGTGGTCGTTCACGAATCAAGAACTTGTGCAACATGTTGTTGAAACAAAACTAGTTTCGAGATTCATTCTAATAACAAGCTGCGCGCCAGTGTTCGAAGTTGTTCCAATGTAATAATTGTAAAAAGAATACGATCTGAGATATAGAGTATCCTTCAGGTGTTAGCAGGTGTGTAAAGATGGGAAGGGAGCACATCTCAAACGTGGTAGACATCATAAAACATGCAGGACGGAGTATTTAATGTTGTAAGCAATCGGAAGGTGAAGGGGACACCCACTGGATAAATCTGTGACTGACAGAGTTACCCGTGCATGCACGTATGTTACCTATTTTATCACGTCCTTCGTTGAACTCCTTCATCAAAACAGGAAGATAAACGCCATAGGCTCGWACTATCCCAACYAACAACCATGATTGGATGAAAGCACACGTAACCACGAGGAAGGACCAGGGTCCATCTTGCTTGTGTGGTGGTTTATTTGGCCTCGAATTGCATAAACAACACGACGGTAAAGTCATATTTGATTGATGGATAATCTGAGAATATTATATAGTAAACATAACATATCAAAATTCAATGCACAAAGGATAGTGCCTCAATTATCCTCAATATCATATTGCTGAGAAAACTGGCCCATCCTACAGGCCGAGGCTTTGATCACAGGGGCGGATTTAGACTAGTTCAACTAGTTTCCGGAAACTAGTGAGATTTTTCATAAAAAAGATGTATTTGAAAAGCGATACTTCAAATAAAATCATATAANTTCCACCTTCGACCCAGGCCCAACATACACAACTCATTTCGGATCAATTTGAGTGGTTGAGCGATAATAGATTACGTTTGGTTCTGTTCCTCTAGGCAGAGATTAGGCTCAGTCTCCAGCCGTCGGGATTTCGTGCGCCCGCGATACTCTCTCCCCTGACGGCTCGGCGCATGGGGTTCGAAACGTGTCGCGCATGTCTGGGACTGAGACTGAGACTGAGACTAGGCAGAGTTATGATAAAGAAAAAAAAACGAGTCTTTTAGAAGGGGCGTGTTCGGTTAATTCTGAGAATACTGAGTTATGTCTGCTTGATAAATCTCTAGAAAAAAAATAACACTACTGCTAAAATTCAATGATTACTTCCCGTTGAAAATGCTTTAAATTAGAAGCCGGGCTGTTCGAAATACTTCAAAAAATGGTATGCTATAACTTATCAGCATGCAGACTACACTCCTGATTATTCGTTAAAAACTTGAGCCAGGGATGGATGACTTAGGTCGGAAAACCTCGATGGATTTGAAGGGATCGTCCTGCAGATCACATGCAAATCATACAACATCCGGTATACCAATAAAACTGAATAAATACCAATGAACCTTTCGACATGACCGACAAGACTGTAAATGCTTTATTAAAAATCCTATCCATTACAACTCTGGACACTGAATCGATTTCAAGAAAGCTTGCAAATGTAAAGATCATTGCATTACGCAACAWTTCAGACATTTGGAACAGCGTAACGTACTCCAGATGTCAAGCAACAATACGATGTTGACCGAGTTGTCATGCTATGGGGCCATTAATATTCAGTTTTACCGATATAACTGCCGTGATCACGACTTATTTTTGATGTTTATTCATGTTACTTGTAATATAAGTAAAATCGTGTCCTACCTCCCTCTCCAATTCAAAGCGAAAAGCCGCTGTTTTATTTGAMAGCAGATTCTCTTGCGCAAAGACCTAACCAAACACAAAAGAGAGCACGAGAAAATGTTGTAAATACAATAGTGCTAACAGTTTGCGTTTTCCCCGAGTTGAGGCTAACTTAGGCTTAGGTCTTATGGGAATACAGGGCTAGTCTCAAATCGGGGAAAATGCAAATTTCCAAGGCTATAACGACACTTTCTTGTGTTTTTTTTGTTTCAAGTCAGGCCAATCTGTTGCCAAATGAAGCAGCGATTTTTCAAATTGAGTTCGAAAATGGAGTATTTCAATACTCTCTTGATCGTCATCTAAATTTCAACCATATTTTCTATACAAACCTTCCGAATGCTAAGATATGCTTGTTGTCAAGTTCCAAAATTAGTTGGCCTTTTCAACCATATGAAAGCTCACCTTGAAGTAACTTAAGATTGTTGTCTATAAGTCGAATCTGGTCATCGGCATGTCTTGCGAGTCAACCCAGTTGTCGACAGTTGGTAAACACGAAGTGTGAATAAGTAAAACTCATCCACAATCAAACAGTGAGTAGAAATTGACGGATATAACCCTGATTATGACGTTTCAAATACATGGCCTCATAACACACTATTTAAATTCTGCTGTGTCACAAATTGAAAGGTCAAATAACAATTCATGTTTGGATTTAAGTTACTTGTCTTCCTCACAGGGGCTATTAGTGTTGGTCACGCTGTGCTTTTCCTTTCCGAGTGTTTTTAAATCAAGTGAAAGGGAGAAAACGTAGTGTTGCAATGATTCTGCTAAGATCCAACCTTGTTTCAATTGTCGATTTTTTTCAATTTTCGGTAAAAAAGGTTTGCTAAGATAGGCTATAATCTTGTTTGCTAAGATAGGCTATAATSTTTTAATTGAGAGGTTCCCAGATCGAAAACTGTATTTTAAACTCATCTTTAATGATGAGCTTAGCGTTAGGTGCCTATTCGATGGGATGGGTGGAGCCTGGCACGAAGTTTGCGGTAACCATGGTCATCCTGTCACCACCCACCGAACACCTGTCACATTGGCCGCGATCCTGATCCTACGTAGTGGAAGGGAGGCGGGTGGGAAATCGAAGTCGTGTTGTAGCGATGTAGCGAGATAGCGTAGTATAGCGTGTGCTAGCAATATAGCGAAAGGCGAGTAGAGGTTCGCGTGAGTAGCGTTGAGCTAGCGAGATCACGTGTGTAGCGTGTTATCATATTTCTGCATAAACACCGCTATGCAAGATGTTAAGCAGGCCATCGAGCCACCTAGAATAGATTGCGACATGATATGCCACGTTCTAGCAGAACCAACGATAACTTGAATAATAAAATGCGTTGACAGCGATTGATAGCGATCTTCGTGACCGAGTTATGTTGAGATCACATTGTCCTAAAGTCTAACTTTGCCTAAATTACATTTAACCACATARTAATTTGATCATATCAAACAATTTGCTTCGGAGAAAAATTCATTCGTTTGCCAAACTTTTGCTGGCCATATATGGTAATCTTACCTTATAAGGAAGTACGTTAGAAAGTTTTTTCAAGTTTTTCCACCTTTTAGTGATTTAAAACTCACAGAATTTGCAGAGAAATTGCAACATGTCGGCAATTATAAATTTGTCCTAGTACCCTCCAATCCTTGAAAATAAGGGATCCCCCCMAAAAAAACGCAGGTAGCCCGCGCGAATGTTAGACAATTGTTTGATATGCGCATTTTTTCCATATTCGTAATAAAATGCTGTATCTATGTGCCATATTGACACAATATCTCCTAAAACGACTTCTGAAATCAATAGATTAATTGGTACGAAGCTTATACAAGAGCTTCCTGAACTCAAAAATCACATTTTGCGTGTTTAGAGGCCATTCCTGTACCAAAACACCGAGTCGCACGCCATCTTGGTTGCGGATTTCTAAATGCTCGTATTTTTACAGGACAAAATACCCGTATGTTTACAGAAAAAAATACCCGTATGTTTACAGGAAAAAAATAGTGACTTATTAACTAGTCCACCTCACACACATCATCTATCTCCCTCCTATAACTGCTTTTCGCAATCTTTGAGTTACAGCGGAAATCGTTGCATCGCGACCTCTTTGTTTTGAAGTTTGTCTGGATTTTGTTCTTTTTTTT